TATATATATATACATATACTTGTTGAATAATGACCTGATTACTGCTATATCTTTGAAGTTATCTCGATTCATAAAAAAAATGTAATCTTTTTCAGATGTCTCAAAATTAATGGAAAAGATGAAAAGCTTCAACATTATAAAATTAAAATGGCAAAAAATGCTAAAATAAAAAGTATGTAAACATTTTTCTTTAGCGTTAATAAATATTTCTATAATAGTTATGATAAAAACAAATAATAACGATATTTATAACATGATAATGTCAAGCATTTTGATCCACTATGTATATTCTCCCTGAAATTCTGAAGAAATCAAATTTCGCCGCGCCAAACTCAACAGGCCAAATCAGCACACAACATGCTGCCTAACATCATGCCCACACGAATGTCTTGCCCCTCCAAGACGACCGCTCGTTTTTTACCCGTTCGCTTGCTCGTTCATCCGTATACTCACTACCTACATATCGCTAACCACAAGCGAGCTCTCCCAGTTCAGGCAAAGTGCGAAGACCAGTACAATCGTGTTGCTTTTCCCGCTATCTCCGCGTATCAGTCCGCATGAGTTGCTCGGTGCGTGAAGGTTGACAAGACCGACTTGCCTATACCTCAGTCTACCTCAGTCAATCGACCGATCAAAGAGTAGTCGATAGCATTCGCCGTGATGAGTGTCCGTGGCAAGCAAGTGCAAAATGGTACCTACGAGTTTGATTATATGCGAGCACCTGATACTAGAACTTGCTGGCAGATAATTCGCGATGGTTTCTATAATCCGACAGAAGGAACTTACTGTGGTCATACGCCTAAAAAATGGGGTAAGTTATTCTAAATATTTTAAACATCTGTATTTAAATACTTAGATATTTAAAGTTGAAAGTAGTTACTATTGGATACATATAAGAAAGAATTTAAAAGTTTTCGCTATTACTTGAAAAATAATGTATAAGTTGAAACATTATGTTATATCGTTGAAAATTATTTGATACACAATTCAAAATAACTTGAAAGTTCTACGCTATTATGTAAAAAATAATTTTGAAACATTATACTGATGTTAATATTAGAATTTTGTAAAAAAATTTTTGAAAGATTTCTCACTCCTCTCATTATAATCTCTATAATTTTTTTTTAAATTATGCTTCAGCATAATCAATACTCACATTCTTAAAAAAATCGACATTATAAGATAAAATTAAGATAGAAAATTTGAACCACACACTATATTTTTATAAACTGTTTAAAAATAATTTAAGCTAAGTTAAGTTTTAAAATTTAAAATAAATACTGAAAACACGAAGAATAAATATTTAAGAACAGGAAAGTCACTCTGTTTCTCTCGAACAAGTTTTTTTCAAATTCAATAGCGTTATTAAATTTTGTTTTATGCTGACATAAATTATAATGATAAACTTTATGCGTAAAATTAAAACTGATTTTACTATGCTAATGTCTTTTTAACTATTTTAGATTAATATTTACTACTTTGCATTTTAATTTTGAGATTTGACAATTTCTTTTTTTTTAATTTAGGAGAATATTTTAATGTTGATAAAAAATTCCATTTATTAACATCGATTTAAATTTAAAAGTGGAATACAAATGCATTATTTTACATTGAAATTGACTAACAAGATTTTGTTTCTATGAGAATGTGACATTCTTTGTAGAAAAAAAATATTTAATTACAAGGACAATAGTAATTATATTCGTATTATTGTCGACATTATATTAAAAGAATTGCTATTTTTCTGTTCAACAAGGGAATTCTTATGATTCATGTAAAATTTTACGATCAATATTTCTTAAGAATTGCAATAAATCAATTAGGAATGTAATGGTACTTCTGTAGTAGTATAATGTCGAGACAAGTTTGTGATGTTCAGTTCAAATAAAATTGATGTTCTTAATCTCATTATCTTCCAGTATAGTTATCGATTTGGAAAAATTATCTTATCTCAAGTAACAGCATGATATAATGACATCTATTTCATTAAACATCACT